TCCAAAGTCTATAGATGGAGTAACATATAGCTTCCAGGTAAAATTTGTTTTAAAAATAGGTGATACTGAGAAGTGTTCTAGTTGGAAATAGATAACTCTTAACAGCAATATTGACAGAGTGTTCCACATGTGTGTGCATGGAATGTTTTCACAAATCTTTTCATTTTGGGTATTTTGATTAATATTTGGAAAGGAATCTTATGACAAAGGAGCATTCAAATGAATATATATATATATATATCAGACTGGGTGATAGCAGTGCATGACTTTATTGTAGTTTGGGTTTTGCTAAAATGTCACATATATCAAATTTTTTTAAGTATATATGGTTTTCAATTGTATGTTTTTTGAGTTTTAATAACAAACAATATATTATGTTTGTGTGTGTACATATATGTTTATACATACATACATATGGACAAAATGGTGCATAGCTTTACAAGCAAAGTTGAAATGCCCTCAGTACTAACAGGTAGCTATGAATACTGTAAAGGCCAAGTTTAATGCAGTATTTCCCAGATATGGGCTTTCCTCATCTCAAGCTATTCTACAGCAATTGTTTTATTGTCTTAAAAGCTTTAGCAGCATTGGAGCAAAGAATGCAGTGAAGCCAGGCTTGGCTTTTTTCTGCTGCCGGAGCAAAGATACTCAGAATCATCCTGTCGGACATGTCTACCCTTCCAAAATTGACTTGACTTTTAGTACATTGTCAAAAGGAGGAGTGTCTTAAAAGTCACAAAATAAAAGCAATATATTTGCGGTTAAATGACAACCTCAGATGACTCAGAGGAAAGGCAGTCCATCTGTCTAAAGGAATAAGCCATACTGGCTGCACTTAAAAGCGACCCAAATGCACATTCATAGCTAATTATAAACAAAAACTAGTTAACACTTTAAATAAAAGGAAAAATAGCACAAAGATTTAGAGCCTAGACAAGTAGATGAAAGGGCCCTGAGTTGTCTTCCATCTGATATTACTCAGAGGCAACTCTGTCTCCAATTACCTGGGAATATGTGGTATTCCCTCATGAAAGCTGGGGATCACAGAGGGCGTCCGTTCAGTGCCTCTGCTTACTCAGTCGTTTGGAACAAGGTCAGCAGAAATATCTCACAGTGCCAAAGAGTCTGGAGCCAGACAGAGACTAGAGACACCAATCACCGGGTCAGATGACTAACTTAGTAGGGCAGCAACCACCAGGAATAATTTGTGGGGCCAGAAGTTCAGGGTAAGACGCCTCAATGCTGCCTGAGACGACATCAGCAGGACTGCTGGCTTTAACTACTCGCGTGCTCCATGGTTCAGACTAAGAGGCTAGATAATCTTACACTGTTATACTAAAATAAATGAGCATGAATAAAAAGTAAGCAAATGATGAAAGCTGCCTCCTAAGATCAGTGATTTTTGTTTTGTTTTGTTTTGTTTGTATGTTGTGGCCCCAACGATGGCCTTTCTCTGCCACTAACTGCAGATCTTTACCTGGTAAATTTAAAGGCTAAAGAGTAACAGCCATGATATTAGGTTTAATACTACCTAACACTTCCCCTCTGAGGATCAGCAGTTGACTGACCAACTTTGCTAGCATGATTTCTCCATACAGTTTTAGGTCTATCAAAATAATACTTGCTGATATTCTCTGGAGATTACCTAATGTGAACTATTTTCTTCTTTGCTGTTGTTCTTATTCAATCAGTCTGTTTCTTCCTCCTAGGTCAGTAGAAAATTGACTTATTTCTTTCACTCTTTTCCTTGTCATTCTATGTCCAAGCCTGTATTGGGTATGCATCTTTCCCAGACATTTTCTTGCTGGTGGCTCTTAAGCACCAGGACCTGTATGGTTACCTGTGATATACTCAGAATAACATACCTGCTTTGGAGAAGCATCGAAAATTTTGTTTGTTTTTTAAGATAAGTTCTTTCTATGGAACTTTTGCTGCATTGGAACTCACTGTGTAAACCAGACTGGCCTTGAACTCACAAAGATCTACCCTCCTCTGCCTCCCAGGTGCTGAACTCGGAAGTGTTTGCTACCACACACAGATGCATTGCACAATTTAAAGAAATCATTTTATCTTTGAGATTTTGGCATGTTCTCCCTAAATTCACCAAAAGCACTGTTTCTTGGGGGCAATTTTACTTACTGTTATGCCTTTTCAAAAATAATAAAATCAAATTTAGGAAGATATTAGGCCCAGCTTACATTATGGGAAATGAGAATTCTCTAGGTCTGTTGAATTCACTATGGAGTTAGGTACAACGAGAGCTGGTAGTCCAGCTACTAAGGAACAACCTGTTATTGTGTGCAACTAGAGTACTCTTTGTTTTATAAGTGACCCCAAAAGGGGACTTTGACAAAAAATTATTGTTTGGGTTTTTGTGCAAAGCATCATGCTAGATGATGTGTGCACCCCAACTTTTAAGGCATTTTGTTGCGTTGAACAAAAGAGCTGGCAGATACTGGGCAAATGCCCTACCACTCAGCTCCATGCCCAGCCCTTGGGTTTGAGACAAGGTTTCACTGTACAGGTCAGACGGCCAGGAAGTTTGATCTCCCAACCCCCAATCTACATCTATATTCTACCAGATCTAACCACCGTGCCTCTCTCTCAGAATGTGTTTTTTCCTTCAGATTACAATACAAAAGGAAATCTGCCCTGCTCCTTAAATGGTTGACTCTACATTAAGAGTTGAAATTTGGCCTTTAATGTGTTTTCTTTGATCTCTAATTTGACTGTTTATCAAAGCTGATTAGAGTTTCAATATACAAATTCCTGTAGCTTGAAAATCAGGCAAAAATAGTGGATAGTAGAGAAGTCCCAAGCATAGCCTGTTATTCTAATTTGACTTTATTATTGCAGCATGGTTATTAGGTTTGGTAAGGAGATCTGTTTTTATGTTTTATTTCTTTGGTATGGATCAATCTCCTGCCACATTGGATTAAGATGGTTTGGGTTTTAAATTTTTAAGCCAACTTTCTCAGGCACTGAAACAAGAGCTGTGTTAGTACACATCAAAAGGGGTTATTACTGTGAACTAGCAAGACTCACTTTCTTCCCTTTTACCATGATTTAAGAGCATTCATTTTTTTTGAAAAGCTGCAAGAATGTATTTTCTGTATCTTGATATGATGTCAAAACATTATAAAACTGCGGTTGGTTTACATCAACATTTTAAAGATATTCAATTCCAAAACTTAAGAAAGACATTTTCTTCACATATAATGGTCCTTATAGACATTGTGCTACATAATATGTGTATGTTGACAGGTGAATCTGATTGTGAAGAGTCACGTGGCTAACACTAACCTTACAGGGATTGAAGATAGCTCTGGGAGTATCAGTTTCATGTACTTTTAGTTTTATAAGTCATTTACTTGGATCTTCTAAAGTAGTCCAGAAATTATTTCCATCAATTCTTTTAGTCTGTGTATTTTTCAAGAAAACAAGCAAACGAAAAATGTTCTTTGTCAAAGTAGTGTTCATTCAGGCTGTTTTGTTGTTTCCCCTGGAGAGCACTCTCTATGACTCTAGAATTGTTTCCGGAAGCTAGCCTTGTCTTCCTTAGGTACTTCAGACTGGTGTTTATGACAGTCTGGTCATACTAGAGCCTTTTAAATAGAGTCTCGAACATGCACCTCAGTCTTTAATGTGGCTAGTTTGGACCTGTAAACTCATGTAAATGTCTAAAGTACAAAAAGGGAAGGGAAAGAAGGGAAAAAAATCCTGCTGCCAGCTCAAATGATCCCTGTTAAGTTTTGACATCCACTGCAGAGACTGTCAGCTTGACCCTGTGTCAGGACAATAGACATGCTGTACAGACCTTCAGTCAGAGCAGTTGTGAAAATTGTAAAACTTTAATGAACCCAAGCTGTGCTATTGTGTTTCAAGTAGTGAGAGAGACGCTTTAACAATTCCCAAAGGATCATGGGTTTTATTTGGTCAACACTGCCTTTTTTTTTATGATTGTAGAGTGATTAATTTACCCTGCTCCATTTTGCCTTCTGATTTCTTCAAATGGTCCCAAATATTACCCAAAAGATTATAAATAGACAATGTCTTTGTTTACTATTTAATGTATTTTTTAAATCTTTTACACATTTGCTTGTTGTGGGAAGAGGCATTATAAAGACTATGTAGGTGTGGTAATGGTGTTTTTTTTTCTGTACTGCTCTATAGAGAAACCGTGGTGGGTTTCTTGCTGTGGGTCGGTAATAACCATAAAATTATTAACTTCTGAAGCCATAACTAATCTTTTACACTCTTTAGGATAGACTGAAAATATTAAGCCATTGCTCAATAGTGCCTCTGAAACATTTATGCAAATATATATGCATGAAGAGGAAGATAGGAAAATTATAGAATATTTCCTTAACTTCCTGGAATGCTTGCTTCTCAATGAAGGTGAAAGGTGCCGTCATATGTTTTAGTTAATGGACTTACTCTCTGATGTTTAAGTAATTTGAAATCTTCACTCCTGTCCTAAATCTGATGTGTGAGTTCCTGTCGGGTGTCTTTATAGTTAGGGGGAAATGAGTAGAGCAAATGAGGCTGGGTTTGAAACTCAATGATAGAGCACTTGTCTAGCACAGGAGAGTCCTGGATTTGATCCCCAGCTCTGACCAAAGAATTACAGCAGAGAAGTGAGTGGATAATGACATCCCCCTTTCAGAGCAAGTCATAATCAGTCACTTGAGAACTGTCCCAAAGAGCTAATTTGTGGTATTTAGGTCCTGGCATATTCAGTGTAACTGTGAAAATAGTGTTTCCATTCCTTAGGTCACTGTGCCAGGACCAAATAAACTCATAACCTAAAAATTTTGGTTAGTTGTAAAAAAAACTTATATGCCCATATATTAGTGTTGTTTTAATCCCATTTAATAGTATTTCTAGCATGTCGGTGACATTAATAGGGTTAAATCTACTCCATGTTGTTTAGGTTATGGAGTCTCTGAGATGGTAGACCCCATACCTATCTAGCTCACTTCTTTTTCTTGCATTTTCAGCTAAAATTGACCAAGAATCACAAGAGACTGCCCTGACAGAGACTCATAAATGGTAAGGTATTACTTTCCTTTAATACAATATTTCTTCTCAGAATAGCCATATGAAAGTTCTTAGTTTGTTTAACCCTAGGAACCAGTTATTGGTTGTGGGGATCTTTGGGTTTTGTTTTCTTACTTTTTAGCATAAAGATTCCATACATTGGAATCTAATGTAGCCGTGTACTTTGGGTCCACAGTGAATTACAAAGTCTCTCTGACACATAATTCTGTTATGGGCCAAGTTGTAACACAGCTTCGCCTCCTTCCAGTGGGATCCAGAAATGAGAAAATGCAGGATTATGCAAGATACGGAGAAACATCATTTGTATTGTTTGTCCTTATTTTTTGTTAACATAAAATAATGGGTCTTATTGTGACATCTGCATACGTAGATATCATTACACTTTGTTCATATTTGCGCCTCACTATTCTCTCTGTCTCCTGCATTTTACTTTGCTGTATGTAACAATTTTGGTTGGAAATACTTTGGCTTTCTAAGCTTCAAATATGCCATTTTATGATTTCCTGGCATTTAGGAATTGTGTCAAACAGTATGACATTATTCTCATGTGTTTGTCTTTCTGAACTGACACTTTTTTAGTACAGGTCTTCTTTCCTCTCTTTTGTGCTTTGTGCATCTTGATTGTAATATGTTATAGAGAAGTTCTGCCATCATGTCCGTTTAGGATTCGAAAACCTTTTTGTGATTGGATTCCCATTTCTTTCCGTAAATTTGGATGATTTTCTGTTCTGATGTCACTGACTAGATTCTCAAAGACTTTAGTGTTCATCTCAGCTCTTGCTTTTATCCCACTGTAAATTTGGGGTCTCAATCATATCCCAAGATTCTTGCAGGTGAGATCATGGTCATGGCCTTTTTTTCATGATGTTCAATGTCACATTTCCTCAACTTTGTCTTTGTTCCTTGATGTTCTTTTTTTCTGATTGGTTTAGTCTATTGTAATGATGATTTTTCACTGTTTTTAGGTTTTTAATCATACAGTTTTTCATTTCCATCATTTCTTTTTGTTTATTATTATTACTATTATTATTATTGTTATTATTAATCTCAGTTTTCTTGATGATTTTCTTATGGACATTATAAACTTTTCATCTATATTGCCGGCTTTTTGTTTTTGACTTTTCTTTCCAGGTCTTGGATTGATCACATTTGCTTTATCTGCCCGTTTACTTGTGAGTACTTGGAGATCATAGGTCAGTTTTACACACATAATTTTTAGATCATTTTATCCTCCTCAGATTTTTAACTCAGTAGCAAAGAAGTTACAATACTCTACTCACACTTTGTTGCTTCTCTATATTTGTGTTATGTTTTGTCTCTTTCTTGCTCGCATATCTGCTCTAGTGTTTTTTGAGGCATCTTTTTATTGACTAGCCTTCTCTCTGGGGCTCAGTTTCCAGCAGAGGTAAAGAGAGAATACACTCATTTTAGGTGAAGCTTCTGTTTCCCTCCTCCTGATGTAAGTCAGGCCTGGAAACTTCGCTCATCTCTTCTCTTCTCTTCTTGCTCTTGTTCATCTATCCTTAAGATATTTTTGCTCTCCTGCGTCTCCCTTTTTGGATATCCACGATCTCTCTCTCTCTCTCTCTCTCTCTCTGTCTCTCTCTGTCTCTCTCTCTCTTTCCTTGTCTTTTGAATATAATATTTTTTTCCATATCCTGATTTTTCTTCTTTGCTCCAAATCATGGATGCTGCTTCTAATTTGTCATCTTATTCAGAAGACCTCAGGAATTTGCTTCAAGAGTAAAAGTTAGAAGGGTTAGTGATAGAAAACTTCTATTTCAATATACAAAATAATTCCACGGAAGAATCCATGAACTTCCTTAGGTAAACTGCAATTCAAGAATGAGGAATTGTGTTTAGGAACATGGTTAGAAAATCATGGAATCTCCATATCTTTCCTCACTAGTCCTTCCTTTCAGACATTAGTCATTTTCTAGAGAAAATCTTTTTTTCTGCAAAACACTGACTAATAACAAAGAGAAAAACAAAGAAAATGGATATACAGAAAGAGGAGGGAGAGAGGGGAGAAGATCAGATGGGGGTAGGGTCGTCATGAAATTACAGAAGAACAGAAGAGAAGTTGAATTAGTAAGCCAGTTCACATGCTTGTAGAAGCTAGCAAGTCTAAAGTTAACCAGGCTAACCCGGAGGGGCCGGTGTTGCAATCTTGATTCTGAAAGCCGTCTGGAGACAGCTTTCCTTCCTACTTGAGTTCCTCAGCATAAGGTCTTCAACTGACAGGATGGGGCCAGCTATGTTGTAAAAGAAATCCGTCATCTTTAAACCCTACCGATCAGAGTGTTAACCACATCTCAAAGCTGCCTTCACAACAACCAGACTGGCGTCTCAACCCCAACTAGACACCGTAACCCACTCAAGTAACCATCACACTCAAAAGGGACTCTGACTGCTCCTGAGGAAATACTCTTATTAAACACATTCCTTTATTAGGCAAGTTCCTAATAGTCTCTGCTCAGAGACCACCCATTTAGCAGCTCTTGAGTTGATTTCAAATACTGTGCTAGGCAAACTGATAAAAGAATTGGCAAGTTCTAAGAAAGGAAGAGTTGAAGGCAAGACATAGATCATAACAAAACACAAAGTCAATGGGTTGAAAACACTAATGATAAAATGTTTAGGACAACAGTCATTTTAATGTTTAGAAATGAAAATAAGTAATGGGTTCTCTGCAACATTTGACAGTTCTCCAAAAATGTATCTTTATACAATTTCTCCAGCAAGACTATGTGGCAATCAGTAGTAACTCTGTGAAGAAAGAGAGCATAGCTTCTCCCAGGGCCTTTAGTTTCGAGCCACCAGGCCTCTCAGATGCTATGGCTCTATACCTTACATTAGCATTAAAACTATCAGCTGATTAGTATTTACTGTGCTAAAGAGGATTAAATAACATGACCTCTGGTCCTTGGTAAGTGATTCATAGATGTTAGCTGCTGTGTTATTGTCTCACAATTATCGTCATCAGTGATTAAGAAAATATATGGCAGTGGGGCTGCCAAGATGGGTCAGTGAGTGAGCTGCCTGCTTTGCAATCCTGTCTGAGGTCAGCCTGTTAGCTCCCATGTAGAAAATTGATCATGGCTGTGCACATCTATAACCCCAGTGCTGGGAATGCATAAACAGCAGGACCCCGAGGGCTTGTAGACCAGCTTGTCCTGTAAAATGGGTGATTGACAGGTTCAGCAGGAAACCCTTTCTGTTTCAGAAGCTAAGGTGGAAGGTTATAGAGAAAGATACCTCAATGTTAACTTCTAGTTTTCATATAAATGCACAGATATATAAAATGCACACACACACACACACACACACACACACCTGGTGGTAGAAATAGACCACCAAAAGGAAACCAAGAGGGCAAGAGGCTGTGCACCTCGGGTTCTGCTTGTAAGTGTTATTCGAAGAGAAGTTAGCCACTGTCATCTTCCTGTTGCTCTGCGTTAAAGAGCTGGCTATATTTGGAAAAAAATGGGAAATATTCCAAATCTAAAGACTCTGTCAATAAAGGAAAAAATGGAGGTTTTGGCAGAGAAAAACCAAAGAGCATTCTTGTACTCTATGATGCAGCATAGCAGATAGCCAAGTTTGGCCAAACTATCAGAAGTTTAACAGAAAGAGTGAGGGATGGAGACATCCAAGAAATACCCTCCTGGAATCAGTGGACACTGGAAGTTTAGAAGCCTATTTGTGCTCTCCTGTGAACCTCAGACCCAGATAGAACATACAGAAACCTTTTCCGATCTTTACTGGGATCCCTTGCTTCATGTTGCAAGCCATATAACCTCCGACCAACCTCTGTCTGAACAATCCTAACTCTGAGAACTCCCAGGATGCTAGAGTTAAAAATAAAATTTCACAATATTTACTCTTCATGACCCATGTTTGCCACCATCGAGTAAATTTCTGCTTCTGGAAGAACTGAATCTAAGCCAGGAGAAATGTTTCTGCCTGGTGTGCTGAGAATGCCACTCAATCAGGTTGTCTGGCTCTTCTCAGACGTCTGGGGGAGTGGGGAATGGTCAGTTTTCACCAGATGCTACCATTTCAGGTTGCCTTTAGAGCTGTGCAGCCTCAGCTTTGCTCTGTACCCTGCCACCTGCCACCCCCATCAGTGGATCACCTTAGAACTCAAAGTCTTGGCCATTTATGACACATCTTGTGTTCCTGAATTGGCTCCCTACAGCGAAATAAAATGAGATAAAGGATACATAACACTTCCTACATCCAGGTTCTAGATGTGTCAGTTCACCCAACAAGGCCATTGAAAAGGTGAGACAGGAATTTGTCTTCATTTAGACCTACAGTGTCTCAGCATCCTTCTATTTCTTTCATCTGTATTCTTTCTATTTTCTATGTATCCTGTTATCTCAAGCCAAATGAAATCCATCCTGGGGTTAAGACTGGGAACAAACAAACTTGGTCAGTTTGTGTAAGCCCATGCTCCCAGACTTGCTCTTCATTCCCCAGGCTTCCATTAGCCCTCTCTGACCTTGGGGTAGAAAATACACTTGAGGATTCCATTTCTGTGAATGCACTGACAAACTCTCAAAGGAATTTTCTGCTTAATTCCTGGTTGGTTGGTTGGTTGGTTAGTTTTTATTTCAATCTGAGTGATATGGTAAATGCTTAAAAGACTTAGTTTGTGTTCTGTGAGTGATCCAGTGAAAGCCTGGGGACAAGTTTGATGTTAGAAATGACTGCCATGTATAAGTAACAAGAATTGCTAAGTCAGGCTTCAAATGTTTGAAGGCTAAAGTAAGGCCATGCTCCTTCACTGAATACTCTTCCTCTGTCAAAAGAGAAGTGTATCAAAAGTTTTGGCGCACCACACCACACCGTATGCTCACAGAGGCTCCTGAGAGAGAAGGTAGGATTGTGTGATATGATAGGCAGAGACTTGCTCGGTCCTCGGAGCCCATTCAGAAGTGTAGCAGATGAACTACATGTTGTGTATGGGATTCTTCTTCCTCTGC